CAACTTTTTAATAAAAATACATCGGATATTCAAGATGTAACAGCAATTTCTGCTAATTGTCTTCTTCAGGATATTCAAAATGAGGCTACCATAAATTCTTAGGTGTATAACCTAAAGTGGGTATTTAAACAAACTGGTTCCTGGATCCCATATAATGGCAGATAGGGGGTTTAAGAATATTCAGTCAATACTTAAAAACATGGGATGCACTTTAGTAAGGCCACCTAGTGTATCACAGAATGAAAAAAGTGCTCCAGAAGATGTACAATTAAGTAAAAGAATAGCATCTCTAAGAATACATGTGGAAAGAGTTATAAGAAGGGTTAGGGAATTTCACATGTTAAAACCACATTTCTGTGTGAATTTTAAGCAAGTATATTTACTTAGTATCTGTATACTTGCTTGTGGTATTGTTAACTTACAAGAACCTATTTTGTAAGAGTAAATATAAATTTAATAAACTTTTTTTATTTGTTTTTTAATTTAATTTACCTAATCACATTTCAGGGATTATAATGAAGAGTTTTTAAACAGCCAATGTAATTTTTTATAAAATTTTAACTTTTCGAGCAAATCAAAGTGGAATGAGTACCTGTATATGCATAGATTTGGCACCTATTTACAGAAGTTTAAAATGAAACATTTTAACAAAAACAACCAAGTTCAGTTGAATGTGGTAGCAAAGTCTATATATTCTAATAAGTTGGGTAATTACATGTGGTATCACTGGTGATAAATTTAAAAATATCACAATTCTTGCCACCTTTTTCAAAAAACCAGCAAGTGTGCCTTCTTATCAATCCTAGACAAAAATGACAACATTGATAAATGTGAAAAAAATATTTAATGTTGCTATTCCTTATTATGAGAGTAAAACATAAATCTAAGTAAAAACAACCAATGTCAAAGGGTTATACTTTTTTCTCTGTCAAACCAAATATAGCACAAAATAAAAAATTGATCATAGGTTAAGCTAAAGTAATACCTTTATTGATAGTAGCTTTAAAAAAGGAGAAAGAATAATATTGACTTAAGTTATATTTTTTATTTATTACAAATTTATTATTATTAATATTGGTTATTTTTAATAAAAACCGTTCAATTATTGTTTACAAACAAAAATGTAAAAATCTGTAAAAATTTTACTTATTAACCTTGTAATAAAAAATAAAAGTACTTAAATAAGACAAATGAAGTAAAAAACTTTATTTACAAATAAAAAATATAAATATACAAATCCTAAGAATATAAAAGTACTCAAATAAGAAAAATTAAGTAAAAAACACTTTATTAACAAATAAAAAAAATATATATACAAATCCTAAGAATAACTAGCCATTAAACATTTGAAAGAGGTTTCTTTAACAATTTAGCCAAGTCTACATCAATATTTAGGCATTTTGATAATTAGACCCTTTCCAACAACACAGTAGATGTTACAGATGATTCCTCACTTCTTCTATGAAGCCAGCAAAAAAGCTACAACATGTTTACAACCGCCTGAAAAGAATAAAAGAGTTAGATATGCAGTTACAAAAAAACTATTTATATAACCAGCTACAAAATGCCTTATTTTATATAACAAGACGAGCAGAGCTTTACTAGCTCTGAATGAAGCCAGTAAAGCACCTCGGCATTTTAAAACTTTTTATAAAAACAATCTCACCACATTTTCAGATTTTTGAAATATTATAGAGCTTTTCAAAAAAAAAAATTATTTTTAAAAATACGTTTTTATTTTTTAAACAGCTATGTCTCATTTTAGGCTCTTGAGTAATATAAAATTAAAAATTAGGGGATGCTTTGTTAGCTTTAAACGAATCCATCAGAGCACTCCAGTTTTTTTTAACCACACCACGTTCTTAGGCTCCTACAATATTATAAAATATACTGAAAAATTTGGCATTTTTAAAAATATTCGCAGTTCCTTGCTGACTTCAAAGTTGTTTTTTTTTCTGAAAACAAATATACTTACATTTTTAGGATTTTAAAATAGCCTATACATGTGTCATAACTAGTTGTTTTTAAATATAAAAAAACAAATTAAAAAACTGAAGTGTCCTGCTGACTTTGTTCCAACAAAGCACCATGTATTTTTTAAAATCCAGCTGACAATTTCATATTAATAATAAAAATAAACCAATTCGCAAAGACAGAAGAAATAACAACAACAACAACAACAACAACAACAACAACAACAACAACAACAACAACAACAACAACAACAACAACAACAACAACAACAACAACAACGACAACAACAACAACAACGACAACAACAACAACAACAACAACAACAACAACAACAACAACAACAACAACGAATGTTATGTTAGGTTATGTGGTCTAGGTAGTGTCAATTTTTAAGTGTCACTAAGATGTGCGTTCACTTCGACATTCTATGTGTCGGTTTGTTCGTTGGCTTGGTTTCGTATAACAAAAAAAAACTTCGACACAAGCTGATTGGTCTATTCCGGATGACGTATACATTTCAAATTTTAAATTTCAATTGGGCTTAATTTAAACACTTTTGGCTTTTTTAACGAACTGATTATTTAGAATAACTTGTATAGCGACTAGCTATTACAATATAATTTATAAAACAGTAGATCTCACATGTGAACATGACCTATTGTTATGTTGCAAATTTAATTTAAAATAGATAACCAAGGGGTTATATTCACTAGGAGAGATCAACGTCTTAATTATTATTGCTTCTCTTAATTGAAACTAGGAATTACATAATTATCATGATGAATGGTGGATATTATTTTATTAGTTCTTAATATGCAAAATAAATTTGTTTAATTTTGAGTCATGTTCAAAGATGTGTCATGAAGCATATTTTTGATAATAAAATCCAATTATTATGGCAAGTTGTTTATTCTATTAAAAAGAGGTTACAATAAAATACATTATAAATTTATTGTAAACTAAAACCAAAATTTAATAAAGTAATGTAAAAAAAGTAAGTATAAAAAAATTTATAGTTTTTTTATAAATTAAAGTAAACTTAAATTAAATGGCTAATATTATTATAATTATTATTTTCTAAACCTACCCTGAGAGAAAGATAACCATATGCTCTAATGAAATGTCTGGAGTGATAAATTAATAAATGATTAATAACTATACCATTAGAATTGTTTTTCTCATTTTCCTTTATTTTTAATAAATCGTTTTTTATCACAAGTGACTCTTACTATCTAATGAAGACCGGTATTTGTGACGCCCCACCACATTTGTGAAGCGAGCGTCGCCACTGACGGGAAATTGGGCGAGGGGGGCGGGCGGTAAAGGCGGCACACGCAAATGAAGCTACACTAAATCTCCATCTCTCCTCGTTATCCCTCTGGATCGGTGCATGGCTACGGAGATTTTATTTTACGTAATCTGAGAATAAACCCGCTTTTCTCAGAACGGAAGTTGTTTGTTGGAAAACGTTTAGACACGAAGAAATTTAGTTAAGATGATGTAAAGAAAAGGTGAAATTGGCAATTTCTATTTTTAATGAACGCCAACTTTATATTCTAGAATTCCTTTTTTTTATTCTGAGTAAGGAAATGAAAGAAAGAGACTTGACAGAAAATACCTACTATTTATTTGTAAATTAATGTTTCTAAGAGTGTTTTAAAATAATGTAAAATAATAAGTTAATACAAGTGAAGTACGTGACCAATTTCTATATAAATACTGAAGTAAATCCTACTTTCTTACTGATGCACAATACAAAAGTTATCAATAAACAATGCAAAATTAAAAAATTTAAAAAATATAGTAATTTCGTCTTCCATTAAACAAGAAAATACTAATCACTAAATCAACGACCAACAGCGTGCTGTCTGTTGTGATAATAATTGATAAATTACATTAGTTCAGGTCAAGAGAAGCTTGATGTTTTTACGCAATCGCAATTTTATTCAGGTATATATTGTGTAGAATATCTGCACATCACTTTTTATAATAATAATATTATTAATAATAATATTTATTAATCTGAAAGTTTACATCAACATACAATAATTGTTGGTACATAAAATGATTAATAAATATGTGAAACCCACAGAAGGTCAAGGCTGTGTATGGGTATAAACAAATTTTATTAAAATGACAATATAAAAAATGTAATACTATAAGTACAATATAATATATAATATTATAAAGTGCATAATATCAGAATTTTCAACAAGAGTATCAATTAAAATAAAATAAAGAATATCAAAAATAATAAAGCAATTGCATAAATAGGAAATGTTAACTACAAATATGTTTTAAGTTTCTAGGTAAGTGTGAATTTGATGTCTTGGAATGGTTTTAATCCATACTTTTAATTTTTTTTAAATAAGTTTTTAGAATTTATATTTTTGAGTTCGTTCGGGATTAAATTATAGAATTTTGGGCCAAGATAATAATAACTTCGTTATAATATATTTTTATGAGGTACAAGTATACAATTTGATTGATTTTTGTATCTCGTGTCATAAATATGATCAATACTTGTTAACTTCTTTTTTAATATTGTTACGCTGGTTTGTTGGTATCACAATTTATTTTAACTCAACTTTAACAACAATTATACAACTGATAACATTAACATGTAACGTTTATCATAAAACTGAAAAACTGACGTCAGGATCATCCTTATATAGCTTGTTTTATCCTTCTGTTCACTATTGTCTTTATTTAAATCCAAATTGGAAATTGGTTCCCTATTGTCTACTAAGATTGGCATGTTTTGTAGACTGTTGCTTTTGTGTTTTCTTCCTCCGTTTTTTCTAGATCTTCCGCTGTATATTCAATTTCGTTTACTATCAAAACTTTCCCCTTTATATACGCTCTATTTCCGTTTTCTTTTTGTTCTGCCAAATGCCTTCTGAATATAGTTAACTCCTCCCTTTGTGATTCTGTAAGATCGTGTGATATAGGTATTCCAGTATTTTTTAGTTTTTTGTAATTTTGTAGAATGTTTTTTTTCTTTAGTTGTGACATGAATCCAACTTTTACTGGACAATTTTTTGCTTTCCAAGGCAGTAAATGTAATTATTATCGGGTTCTATTATGTCTACTTGTAATAATCTTATAATTTCACCAGTGATTAGGTTTGGATTTACTTCGGCTGGAGTTTTATTAAGCCCAAAGATTATAATATTATTTAATTTATTATCTCTTTCAAATATTTTAACTTTATTTTTTAGATTTTTGTTTTCGTTTTCCAAAGTTTTGATTTTATTGTTTAGACTTTCAATTTGTAGTTGTAGTCGAATTTCACTGGCTCTAATGCAATTTTCAAGTTCTTCGTTTCCCTCTTCAATTTTATTAAGTATTGTTTGCATACTCGCGTCGTTCATTTTACTAAATAGCCATCATACATTTACTTATTATTAGAAACAATTTTAGTATATGGTCAGCTTTAGTTTTTTGTTGTGTATACAGTAGTATTTTCAATTGTTTCTATCTGTTCTATTTTTAGTTTTATTATTTTAAGGTTAAATAAATTCCTATTATACACGTGGAATTGGTAATTTCCAACATATAATCAACTTATTAAGGATCGTGTTATTTAAATTGATGTAAGATGTTTTAAAAATTTCTAGTTTTATTTCATTTTAACGTATTTTCGCACTTTTTGGGTATATTTGTAGGACTTCATTAAATTCAAATGTTTAACTATAGGCGACCACACACAATAATATATAGTAATTTATTTTATTATTATTCCAATGTAATTATTAAAATACACGTCGAATTAGGTAATTGGACTAATTACATCCAAGGTTTTGTGTAGATAGACACTTTGCAAATTCGACGGGTATACCCGTCTTCATCATATTCAACCTATACGGCCAGCAATGGTGCTTTCCATTGATTTTTCATGTACAAAGTGTCGTACTACACATCAAAATATTTTGATTGGCTGATTTAAAAGGGCATAATTTGGTGAGGTTATCCCTTATATTGGAGTATTTTTACCGTTTTTCTAGTCTGCTTTTATTGTTCAAGTAGGGCAGTTCACTGCGTGCATTTGTTTCTTTTATATTTGTTTGGTAAAGTTTTAATTTTGAAATTGACTGCAGAATGAACAAAAAAAATCTGATGTGTCCAACACATGACTTTCCTATGCAGTTATTACAGGCTTTTCCGGTTATTTTGTACAACCTGTTGTAGCACCTCTGTAAATATTTAGAGGTTGACTTAATATATACATTTTCCACATACATCTAAATCGAAAATGCTGAAAAATTTAAATTTTATAATTTTCGTCCAATTTTTCCATTGCGGTCCATTTTAGAGAAATCATGTAAAAAAACAAAAATTATAGAGATCGATATAGCAAACATCTTTTAGTTCAACGATTTTCTTAAAAATCAGAAATTTTTATATTTTGTAAAATTTCTCAAATACGGAGCATTTTAGGATATTTTGTCATAAAACAAAATTATAGAAAATAATAATAAAAGAAACTTTTATTTAAAGAATTTTCTTCTCCAAACGTAAATAACAGTTATATTTCATAAAATATAAGAACGACACTTTATAAAATACCCCCGGATTTTCCGACTCTGCCCAAAATCTAATCATTTTACCTTAGGCCGGAATAAAGCTGAAGTTTAAAATTTAATGTGTTTTTCTTTATCCGTTTTTGAGTTTTCTTTAAAATTCTAAATTTAAACCTTTTCTCAAATATATCGAATACGGTCCATTTTAGAGAAATTTTGAATAATAAAAAATTATAGAGAATTGTAACACAAACAACTTTTATTTAAACAATTTTCATAAAAATTTGATTTTTTTTACATTTTGTCAAATTTCTCGAATACGGACCATTTTAAAAACAATTTTTTTAAAACAAAAATTATAGATAATAATAAAAAAAGTAACTTTTATAAAAAAAAATTTATTCTCAAAACGTAAATAACAGATATATTTCATAATATATAAAAATTACTTACAATAAAGTACCACCCAGGTGTTCCGACTCTGCACAAAATCTAATCATTTCACCGCAAGCCATAATAAAGCCTAAGTTTAAAATTTGGTGTTTTCCTTTGTATCCGTCCATGAGTTATCGTGGATACAGATACACACACACACACACACACACACACACACACACACACACACACACACACACACACACACACACACACACACACACACACACACACACACACACACACACACACACACACACACACACACACACACACACACACACACACACACACACACACACACACACACACACACACACACACACACACACACACACACACACACACACACACACACACACACACACACACACACACACACACACACACACACACACACACACACACACACACACACACACACACACACACACACACACACACACACACACACACACACACACACACACACACACACACACACACACACACACACACACACACACACACACACACACACACACACACACACACACACACACACACACACACACACACACACACACACACACACACACACACACACACACACACACACACACACACACACACACACACACACACACACACACACACACACACACACACACACACACACACACACACACACACACACACACACACACACACACACACACACACACACACACACACACACACACACACACACACACACACACACACACACACACACACACACACACACACACACACACACACACACACACACACACACACACACACACACACACACACACACACACACACACACACACACACACACACACACACACACACACACACACACACACACACACACACACACACACACACACACACACACACACACACACACACACACACACACACACACACACACACACACACACACACACACACACACACACACACACACACACACACACACACACACACACACACACACACACACACACACACACACACACACACACACACACACACACACACACACACACACACACACACACACACACACACACACACACACACACACACACACACACACACACACACACACACACACACACACACACACACACACACACACACACACACACACACACACACACACACACACACACACACACACACACACACACACACACACACACACACACACACACACACACACACACACACACACACACACACACACACACACACACACACACACACACACACACACACACACACACACACACACACACACACACACACACACACACACACACACACACACACACACACACACACACACACACACACACACACACACACACACACACACACACACACACACACACACACACACACACACACACACACACACACACACACACACACACACACACACACACGAATATATGATCTATAAAACAAAAGCGAGACTTCGGCACCTAGACCATACTTTAATCTAGATATACATCTTGGTAGGCTGTTACCACTGGTATAATAAGTTCGGATAATTTGATTCGTTCAGACATAGGTATTTAATCGATATCTTGCATAAAAAAGTACAGCCTAAACTTCTCTCATATGAATTCTGGATGGTGTAGAAAAGAAAGTCATCTGCCTATGTGACTATGACTATGTGACAGGATTCAAGCCCAAATATGATGAAGTTCTGTTGTATATAGATTGAATAAAAATGGACTCAAGACCGATCCTTGCAGAATATCTTGTGACAATAATCTTGGGCATGTTTTACTTTAAAAATCTATAAGTTTGGTAAGATCGTCGTTTATGGACTACCCTGTATATTTAAGAATATTTATTAAACATAGTCATACAATTTTATATAATTTTTTTTTCTTTATAATATTTCTAATAATAAAACAGCTATCGATCATCTACACACTGATGGCTAACATATTGGTATCGGTTGAAAAGTACATTTATAAGAAATTTGATAAAATTGAGTAATTTGAAGTTAAAATAAGCCATATTTAAGACATGTTTCAACACTCTGTACAAAATAAACCAGTTCTATCACCATTATTCGTTAGCTTAGTAGCAAATGAGTCTGTATATTAAACAATTTTAAAATCACTGTAAACTTGCCTTAATTTTGATAATTTTATTTGGGGTCTACATCATTTTCTAATTTCAAAAAAAAAAAAATTAATTGCTTGGCATCCCCGTAATATTTAAAAAAAAATTTAAGAGTTGAATACAGTTTAACCAATCCATTCTAAAATTGAAATAAAATAGAGGGTGCTCTATTTAAAAAAATATACATTTTTATTTGCCAGACAAAAACATATATCCAAAAATATTTTTAAAATACGTATTTTTTAAATCCATATAACTTTTATTTAAAATTTGTTTGTGTGTCAATAACACAAATTTAAATATTGAACTGTATAGTTCACTCCTTATACCGACCTAACCATATGATTTTGTAAATAGGTAACTTTTGTTAAATTATTTTATTTCTATACTAGGAGTCTATACTGATATTGTTGATATTAAATAGACATACATCCATAGTTTGCCTTATTTATTGGTTTAAATCATTGTAAGCACCATCTGTAAACTTGATTTGCCTCATGTCTTTTGATATTAGAGATCAATAAAATTTTGAAATATATTAAATAGAATATCCTATCATATCATACCGTGTATTTTTTTATACATTCTTAGGAGTAAATGTTATATTTACTTCAACATACAAACGACCGAAACTTTTTCTTTCCATTTTCCAGTCAATTTTTCACCTTTCACTCAACATCAAAAACGAATGTCATCATTTTTTGCTCGGCTAGGTGTAACAAACGCGAAACCGCAAAGTTTTCAAAACAATAAGCATCAATGGTCGCCAGGGACAAGGACAATCCATCAAAAGTATCAAAAAACTCCGTTGCATCTCCGCTCAACTACATTTTTCATACTTTTTTTTGTCTTGTTCGCTGTCAAAAGATGAACATTCCTCCAAAGGTGGAACACACAACTGATATAAATACATAGTTGAACTTTTCAGAACCTCCATAATACAAACTAAGATAAGTACGGGTATTTTAATTAGTAGTTTCTTATGTTAGATAATATATTTTGTTTGTTGTATTGTTGTGTTAATTTAAATAGTTTATTTCGTATATTAACAATGGAGGGGGCAGTGGCGGCTCGCCAGATGACGCAGAAGACGCGCTGCTTCATCAAAATTTTAGTAGAAATTAATAAAAATATCAACTGAATAGCTAAATATTTCTTTTTCTGCCAAATCTGCATTTTTGTCTCTATACAAATTACAAAACAGAAACCACCAAAAACCTAATTTTGAGGTATCTGGACCACTGCAAGAAACAAACGAGGTG